TATATATACATACATACGTTATATATTTGTTTGTCAAACCTTTGGAAAAGAAAATCCTTGGGCTCCCAGGTCCAGGAGATCTTTTCCACGGGCTTCGCCTTTGCCGCGCTGCGCCGGGACGCCACGGTGGTCACCTGGGGAGATCCCTTCCACGGCGGCGACAGCAGCGCCAGCGGTTCAGTGCCCCTGAGGAGACCGGTGGTGGGGTGCATCCCTTACCCTTTGGTAACTTAATGGGATTTTATAGTGATTTAATGGGATGTACCCTCTGGTAAACATACAAATAGCTATTGAAAATGGCCATTTATATTTATAGTGGATTTTCTCATTGAACATGGTGATTTTCCATAGTGAAAATGGTGATTTTCCATAGTTATGTAAACGTTTACCAGAGGGTAACGGATCCCTGGGAACCCATTGGTTGGTTGATGAAAATAGAGGGGTTTCTGAACAGAACCCCCGAAAAAACAGGTTTGTTTGATGATAGATGGATATAGATGGTATATTGAAGCCCCTCTATTTTTACCAAAAGCTATGGGAACAATGGGCTGTTTGGTGATTTGGCGGTTTGATTCTTCAGAGGAGTACCCTATAGTACCATCTGGTACCTTCACAAGCAAGAACTAACAACAACCAATGAATATCTGATTGGTGGTTTGGAACATTATATTTTTCCATATGGGAATGTCATCATCCCAACTGACGAACTCCATCATTTTTCAGAGGGGTAGGTCAACCACCAACCAGTTGGGATTTGATGATGATTCTATGATTGATATTTAATGACCGGGATAATGACATTGATGATCTCGATGGTCATCGGGGGTCGAGATATCGAGGGATTTTCATAACCCATAGGATCCATGTATGGTATATATGCTAACATTTGGGGTATATTGATGGTAAATGTTGCCATATATAGCATACATGGATCCTATGGGTAACAATAAATGGCAGTGGCAGTAGGATTAACACTGGTCATTGGGACTTTCGATGGTCATTGGGATCTCGATGCTGGGATTTTTCTGTGGATATTTGACATATCTAATGGGATGGTGCAACTGGGGATGGATTCCGCCCAGTGGTTCCTATCTATTGATACAACAAAAATTGGGAGTAATAATGGGATTGACACTGGTAATTGGGATTTCTTTGCGAGATCCAATGGGATTGAATTTTAGTTCCGACCCAAAATTGTGATTTCAAGGGGATTTGATTTAATAAACCAAAAGTGACAATTAATGAGGATTTAACCCACGAAAAATGGCAACGGTCGCAAATGTCCTGCACATTTTATTGCAGTTTCCGTTTTCAAGTCTGGGAAATCTGGGAAAAACGAAATTTGTTTTGTTGATGAAGCGTATGATGCATACGGCCGGAAAACCGGAATGTTTGATAGCTAAATGCAAAAAGGGTAAACCTACATACGAAATTGGGATTGTCCATTGCAATCTTAAGTTACAACAGGTGCAGAAAATGTACCTGAAGCAGGTGCTCTGGACTGGACTGGTCATGGAGAGAACCTTACAGAGAGGTACTGACACAGCTGGATACAGTACCTACAGGTGCCAGGTGCCACCAGACAACTTTCTGTTGAAGCTATTGGATTTTGTAAGGAGGATATCAAGCTGATATCAACCATGAATGAGTGGAGCAGAAGCAAGGAAAGACGGAAGCCTGATGAGCACCAGCATCACATGCCCACAATGGTAATGAGGAAGCTGAGGGCCACAGCGAAAGATATCAACCGCAATCAACAGCCGAAGTTGCAGCAAGAAAGCAGGAGAAGAATAACAAGAACTAGTTCACGGGAAGACAGAACCTCACCACTAACAAAGAAGAAAAGCAGCACACGATGATCAATTCCCCAACAAATATCAAAAAATAACAACCACAAGATTGTTGGACTTGGTTTGTTCATGGGCCCCCACCTACTTGAAGGAATGTCCGCACGATTCGTGGTGCGAACCGTGCCTTCGCGGCTATACTTTTGGATGGCAGCGTTGTTGCTTGGGGACACTTGGTTTGCCTCTTGTGAGATGTCTGGTTTGCCACCTGCCTCACGAATTTCCAATGTCGTAAACCTTTATCAGGACACAACATGATACAACTGGTAAAGTTGACCGAATGATAACCCCCAATAGATTTGCCAGTGGTATCCAGCATCATCCAACAATGATATTTATCAAAATTCATATTTATAAGGCAAATTATTGGCTTCCCACATTTACCTCCAATGACTTTAGCATGAATTAGTACTATTTATCCCAATCGTTTAGGTTCCCATATCATGGATTATTCATGCCATATTTCCCCAATGATCCACCACTTCCCAGCCATTTCCAGCTGAGGAGATGCCGATTGCGGTGGTGACATCAGCAAGGTCGGAGATTGGATGACTGCTGGATGACCCGACTCCTGAAAAGTGACCTTTTCAAACAAAACTGGTCAAACACATGGTGAGATTCGTTTCAGATGGTTTCAGATGATATCCTGATATAAAAACATGTGATCACGACCTCACAGAACAGAATTGATGATGTTTATTATAATATGAATAACTATGTATATATATATATATATAACTATATATATATATAGATCATCTTCAAGATCTTCAAGAGCACATTTGGACTGACAACTCCTAGCGATTCCAGGTGAAAGATCAACTGGTGAATGTGCAAGAGATTTCTGCCTCCGAGCGAGCATTTACTGCGATACTGGCCACCGGACGGGTGGTTTCATAGGGACACTTGGAATATGGCGCTTGCTCACTACGGGAGTGTTTGTCCATCGATACCTGGCTTCGGCGTGGCGGTGCCACTTTGTCTTACATTTGTTCTGTTCCGAAATCCGAGGAGTCTCGGACCCTTCTCCAGGGTGCGGATCTTTGGGTTTCAGAATAAAGCTCAGAAGTGTGGCAAAAAAAAAGTGCCCAGGGTATGATGGAGATTGTGCCCTGGATTTTCAGGCCTGACTCACCAGTTGGTTCTTCAGAGGAGTACCCTGTAGTACCATCTGGTACCTTCACAAGCAAGAACTAACAACAACCAATGAATATCTGATTGGTGGTTTGGAACATTTTTTTTTCCATATGGGAATGTCATCATCCCAACTGACGAACTCATATTTTTCAGAGGGGTAGGTATACCACCAACCAGATATCATTTATGAAATGGATCATTGAGACTATCACCTGTTAACATTGAGATCAATCAAGGTCATTATCCACTTCATTGATAAATGAAACAACATTTATATACATTTATTGAGATTATCACCTGTCATTCAACCATATTAACAGCATCAACACCATAATATGTATATATATATGGATCATTGGAACCTGTCATTCATGTTAACAACCAATGCTTCACGCTAATGAGGACTGGTTCCAGGGTCTCCCAGCTTCGTCAACGTTCTTTTTTTGGCGCTTTATTTTGAGGATGCAAACCTTGGAGACACATGCGAAAGCGCCACAAAAACATGTTAAGGATTTGTCTGAAAACAAGGAGTATGCCCAATTCCGGTGATCATTTTAAGACATTTTTAACTTTAAATCGACAAAGCCTAACATGATGCACCAGACATTCCAATGGTTGCATCATGTTGTATCCCCACTTTCCCTCGTCATACCACGGCCTGCTCTGCAGTCTGTAGATGCCTCCATGGATCAACTCTTGGCAGTGGCAGATGCGGAGCGCACGTCGTAGTTTTTAACGTGTCGATGGGGGGATTCAACTGACGGTTTGCGGTGGGAAATCCCCAAAAAAACGGAGGTTTAATGGTGAAACATCCATGGTAAGGTGGGAACACCCATTTAATGGTGATTCAATGATGTTTTCATGGAACATCTTCCAGAAATGGCGAAGCGAAAAATCATGGGATTTCCAGGAAAGATCGTCCAGAAATGGGCTGAATCCCTAAGAACGATCAAGCCATGTGACTAGCGGTCTCCGGATATCTGCATCAAGAACAAGAGGACTCATGTCGGAAACCCAATAATGAAGAACGTACCATTTGGGGATGGTTAGAATCCCACCCAAAAAAATGCTGACGACTTGGGGATGGTTGATATCAGGAATGACAGAAGACAGCTGGACAAAAAAAAACACCAAATCACCAGACTTTTTTCTTGCCAAAGTAGCCCCAACTTCAGATGAAAGACAATATACATTATATTACATACATTTATATACCATGTTTGATTCTGGCAAAGAGATCATGGTTTTTTGTCGTCGATTTCACGAAAGATTCCACATCACAAGCTAAGTGCCAACGAGGTCTGCAGGTGCCGTGGCTAACTGTTCTTCCCCAGCTCCTTGCCAGGACGAGACGGGGGAGATCACATCTTTCAACTACGAGGCCATTTTCAGGCGATCCGGAATCTGATGAGGACGTCATCTCTGGAGATGTCCAAAACCATGAAATCCTTGGGAGTGTTAGCTAAATGATATACAATACATAAATATATCATTGTAAATATGTGTATAAATATGTGTATATTATATATTTACATTATGAAGTATAATATATATATATGTTATGTATATGCATGGGTATATGTATATGTATATATATATTATAGTATGTTATGTATGCATGTATTCATATATATATATGCGCACATATTATTGGATGTTTGTTTGATGGCCCAATTTAGTGGCATGTCTTACTCAACTGCATTCTGCATGGGGCGTGGACAACCTGCTCACATTGCAGGTTACCAACTTGGATCACCTTGGCGCACTTCACGAAGGAGCAGGCAGGTTTGGATATGAGGAGGATCATCCCATTCTGGTTAATAAGTGGTGGATATAAGTGGTTCATATGTCCAAATATGCTGGCAAGCATTGCATCTCGAGATAAGTTGCCTGTGGATGCCGAACTGTTTCGTCGGGGCAATATATATAATTATATATAATTTTATATATAATTATATATAATTGTATATATTTATATAGATGTTACAAATTGGCAGCCAGCTACTAATTCAGCACATGGGGTCTTCGCATCGCCCGGATATACCCCTGCCACGGCTCAAGCTGCGACAGCGCTGGCGATCGCCATGGAAGGCGAGGGATGAGACGAGGGGTGGGTGGTGGTATCCTATGGAGAAGCCAATAATGATGGTGGTAAGACAGGATTAATAGTGGTTAATAGTGATTAATAGTGGTAAATAATGATAATTAATGGTGATTAATGGTGATTTACCCGGCCTGGTAAACGTTTACATAGCTATGGAAAGATCCACCATGCTATTAATGGGAAAACTCACTATTTCTATGGCCATTTTCAATAGCTATGTTGGTTTACCAGAGGGTAACATCCATGCTAAAAGATATGTCAGATATATGTAATCAATATCAAATAATGGCCAATAGAAGTTAACGATGTATGTTCTCTGAAGCGTAATCGCAATGAATCCAACTTCCAAATATGTGATATGTATTGATATGTAAACATAGGATAAATTACTTGAATGGAAATGTCGAAAGGGCATTTTCCCACTTCCAGCTTCCCCACTTCACACAACACAATCTCAACCCCTGATTCATAGGCCTTTGTTTTTTGTTTTTTTAACATGGGGCACCGTTTATCATTGGACGTTTAGAACCACATCACTTTTTTTGTTGGATCCTTGTTAACTTTTCAATCAAGGATATCAAGATATATCAAGTTACTTGCGGGTTTGCATAAAGTTGTTTGATTTCCCAAGATGAAACTACTTCGGCATTTGTTTTTTGGTTCCCTCAAACTTCGGCACTACCCAGGCATTGTACTCCTGGAGGTTTTGATCACCTGGGCTTTGAGTTTCTACAACTTTCGGTTTCTTCATGGAGTCGGTTGCGTGGCGAAGATTTACTGGCTCAATGACTGAAGCAACTCCCATTTTTTGTTGAATATGTTGAATATTCGCATCAGATGGGACCGATGGAACCCGATATGTTGAAGCATCCAATATCAAACCAGGGATGAATGACTCTCAAAACTGGAGGGAAAGGCGCCGGGTTGATTTCTTGCGGCGGAATGTTTGCCACGGAAAAGGAACTGTTCATGGAAATGGGTAATCTCCACATTTCGGAGGATAACTGTTTAGTGCTACCATTGATGTTCTGCAGCAATTCATTTATTGCATCATCCTGTGCGAATTCTCTCCCTTCACAGAGTTGGTGCTACGTTTTTTGATTGCACAAAGGATGAAGGATGTATTTCAATGTATTTCTTTCTAGCAGGACGGACATCAATGTCAAAAGTCTCATGAAGCACCCATAAAGTGGAGGGTGGGGGATAAGTAGCAACCTCTCATACCATATGACTGGGCGGATAAACATCGCAGGCACCTGCACATGTTGATGTGAGAACAAACAGTACTCAGTACCAGCGTTTTGATCCACAGCCTCTTGGTGTGAGTGATTCAGCTGTCGCATGTCTTTTTCATATCATTTGCCTGCAGGTGATGAGTTTGCCATGAGTGCACATTCAAATCGCCTGTTGTTTTTCTGGCTTAAGGGACCCCTTTGGCCATAGCTGTTAGCTGAACCGGCTACTTGCTTTGCTGGCGCCATTGCAGGCGCGACCTAGCCTGAGACAACTTGGGCGTGGAAAACTTCGGCTGCTGTGAGACTTGGAACTTCAGTGGGTTGAAGCGCTGCCAGTTACACACTGTAACTGGTAGCGGAGCTGCCTGGACCTTCTTGTGGTTAGAGGTCAAAGAGCCGGAGCCCAAGGAGGTGGAATTCGACCAGGGCAAGTGACACGTGTGGCTGGGAGTACTTTAACCTGAACACCTTCAAGAAGTTCCCAGGTCTTGCAACTACGTGCATTTGCTTGGACATCGAGCTCTACGACCAGTTCATTGCAGTTGCTTGGACCTCGAGCCCTACGACCAGTTCATTGCAGTTGCTTGGACCTCGAGCCCTACGACCAGATCTTAGCAGTTTCTTGGTGCACGAGCTCTACAAGACCCCTTGCTGCGCGAGACGCAGTACCTGGAGGTGACTGACGAGAACATGGGTGACAAAGATGTCTATGTGAAGTGCTCCTGGGATGGAGATCCTGCGACATGGCAGGACTACATACGGAAGGTCCGTCTGACCTTTGAGAAAACCAGGAACCGAAAGAGGAAGTATCTAGGACCAGAATTGGTCTCCCAGTTGACCGGCAGGGCTTGGACGGTCACACAAGAGATCGACCACCGGATGCTGGTGCAGCCTGACGGCGCACGTTTCCTCATCGAGTTCCTGGAGCAGAGATTGGGAAAGGTGCCAGTGCCTGATGCTGGGACCAAAGCGGAGGAGCTGTTCGTCAAGATGAGACGGCCATCAGGTATGAGCATGGCATCCTGGTGCCACAAGGTCAGGGAGACCTATCGAGGCTTGCAGCGAGCTTTGAAGAGGGCAAGGGTGGAGCAGCAAGGCTCTACGCAGGAGTCGCCTGGTTCTCCTGGGTCTGGAAGAACTTCGAGATTGCCGAGGACGACACCGACTTCACAGAGGCCGACTCCGACTTCACCGATGGAATCGCCTTCTTCAAGGAGACGCTCAAGCAAGCAGACGGTGGATGAGCCTGAAGGAGATAAAACTCCACCGCGAGCTGATGACGCTGGACCTTCTGCCGAAGCTCCAAAGACACCCAGTGAAAGGGACAGCCGGGACTATGGGTATGACTCTCCGGCTGATGAGTCAGAAGTGAGACGCAGGATGAGAGGCAAAGGACGTGGTTCACGAGGCCATGAAGACTCCGACACCGACACAGAGGACATCCTGGCTGGCATCAAGGTTTGGGACGACCTGGACACGGGCCTCCCCGAGGTGTTACCCACCGAATTGGTGGGGTGGCTGATGCTGCGTCGCTGCGCTTTGAGCTCTCAGCAGCGGCTCAACATCTTGTCATCGGTGGGCAACTCTTTGAAGGCGGAGGACATTGAGCGTGGACTTCGTGGAGCAGAAGAAGAGTTGCAACTACATGATCGTGAACAACATCCGAAGGGAGGTGGAAAGAAGGGCCGCCCAGTCTTCTGGATGGAACATGGAGGCGAATGGGCACTGCTCAATGCCAGTGAGGAGGACATGGATGATTGGACTTCTCATGTCCACTGGATTGGTGGCACTCAGGAGCTGGCTTCGAACTATGGCGTTCTGAGCTCTACATCCTCGACTATGACATCGGCGTATGGTGGACAAGATGACGGAGTTTGGTTTCAAGATGCTGATGGTGGCCAAACCTGGTGGGAGCGAGACACCGACACGGGCGAGTACTACACTCAGGACTCCTACGGTGTCTACTGGTCCTGGAGCGATTGGGAAACTGCCCAACAACATGCCTTCTTTACGGAGGATCAACAGAAGGAGCTGTCAGAAGCCTATGCAGCCTATGAAGGCAAGCTGCGGACCTTTGCAGAGAGCCGCAACCTCACGCGTGACAAGGTGATGAATCGTGGCTTCTATCCCACCAAGGGCAAGTTCAAGGGCAAGAAGGGCAAGCCGCGACCTACCTCATCTTCTTCGTCTTCCAAGGGCAAAGGTGGTGCTGCGATGACAGCTGATGCGATGGCAACAGTGGGCTCTCCGAACTATTCTGGTTGCTTCATTTGTGGCAGCCGCGACCACGAGTTCAGGAACTGCCCCAAGAAGAGTTCCAACAAGGCTGGCAAAGGTGGTGGCATTTACATGGTGTCTTCAATGGCATCCTCTTCGATGGAGAACATCTATGCAGCCCCTGTGGAGGCCTATGGCCAGAATGTTCCTGGCACCATGCCGTCCCTGATCGGACACGTGCAGCAACCTGACTTAGAAGGATTTGCAGTTTTGGACACAGGAGCCACTGAAACCATCACATCCTTGGAAGCTTTAGAATTTGTACTCAACAAGAGAAGACAGCGTTTTGGTGAGGAAAGACTTCAAGTTGTGGATCGCCCCCCAAAAGTTTTCAGGTTTGGAAATGGACAAACGCAAACGTCAGAGAGCTTTGTACTGATTCCTCAAACACTTGGAAAACATCACATCTCACTCGGTGCTTTCACAATCGATGCCCCAGGCGTGCCACTCCTCCTGGGAATCCGTAGCTTAGACAAGCTAGGGGCGATTGTAGATTGTAGCCGGAGTGTGATGGTCCTCAAAACAGTTGATGCAGCTCTGATGATACCTCTCAAGAAATCTTCAACAGGTCATTTGTTGATTGATCTCTGCGACAACTGGTTACAGGGAGGATCACGGATCTTCTTCCACTCGGACATTCCTGTCGAGGAGAAAAGGGCCCAGTCTGCAAATACGGCTTACATGGTTCATGAGGTTGAGGGAGAGAGAGGTCAAGCAGTTTGTCATGAAGATCAGTGCATGAGTCATCACGTATTTCATGGAGATCACAACATGCATTCTCAAGTTTGTCATGGAGATCACAACACGCATGTTCACGTCTGTCATGAAGATCCCAACATTGTTCATGGAGTTTTTCACGGTGATTCAGACATGTCACAAGCCGAAAGCTGTGAAACGTGGAACGTTGAAACATGCATGCAGTTGTTGAGTGAAGGTGAAAGAGGTGAATTTTCAAGGTTGGATGAAAGTCAACGTGATGAATGGTTGACCAACATTTTTGCTGTCAGACTTGAAGATCAGCCGAACTCTCTTTCTTCAAACCCTGCAGACTCAGCTCAGCAAGGAATGTCCTTGCGACTACTCGCTTGGTTAGCGACTGCCCCTTTGCTCGCGACCTCCGACAGCTGGTGCCATGTCGTCCAGTGGCAACAAGGCCAAGGAGAAGAGCCAATCTTCGAAGACCGAGCTCAAGGGGAACAAGGACGCCAAATTCGATTGGTCCCGGACTTGCAGACCAGATCCGAGGGATCCGAGATGCACCGGAGCTCCCTGCTTCGGGTCCCACGACCCGGCAGCCCCAGGGAGGGGATCACCATCGGGCGCCAACGCCCACGCAACATGGACGGCCTGCGCTCGGTGCAAGATGAGACTCAGCTACACTCCATCATGGGGTGCGCATGCTCTCACCCGCAAACCGGGTGCACTCCCTGCGGACGTGGAGAAGCAGGTCGACGAGCTGCAGGAGAACGCGGCCTACAGCCTGAAGCTTCGGGACAAGGACATCGGTTTGGATGGAGCCGAGAAGAGCTGCCTCAACCAACTCGAGAAGATCAAAGCGCAGAAAGCGGCCTACAGCAAGGACAAGGCCTACAACAAGGACAAGCCGGCAGCCGCTCTACAGACCGAGGGCACTATACCGACTCCTACGCCGAAAGCTACCATGCCGCCAAAGCCTCAAGTCTACAACTTGGAGGAGGACGATCACACGATGTTACCAGGCCGCAAAGGCCGGAAGACCGAGACGGCGGAGGAGCTGGAGGCAAAACAGAGGGAGGAGGCAGTGGACAGCCCTGGTTCCTTCACGGTGATTTCATCGTAGGTGACGAAGCTGAGGCGAACAAGAAGGCCGAGGAGAACTATAACCTGGACTATGAGCCCATCTTGGAGAATGAGGACATCCAGGATTTTGACAACAGCGAGCCCCACAAGCCGGAGGAGAACTACCTCGTGAAGAACCTGGACAACGACCTGACCAAGCACTTGGTGAACTATGTCCAGGAGTACTTTGATGACATGGAGGAGGAGATCTTTGCTTGCGGTGGCATGCGTGAGGATGATCGACTTGATCTACTGGAACTTTGCTGCGAGGAGAACAGCCTACTCACTGAGGTGGTTCGTGCTGCTGGTGGAAAAGCTGAACGGGCTGGGCTCTTCAATGGATGCGATCTGATGAAAGCATCTGGCAGGGAGAAAGTTCAGAAGATCATTGATGAGAAGAAACCACGATGGATTTGGGTTTCTTATCCCTGCGGACCTACAAGCCCTATCCAGCACTTGAACGAGATCAGCGAGGAGGGCTGGTGGCAAAGTATGAGAAGGAAACAACGAGCACGAAGGTTGTTAAAGCATGGCAACGAGATCCTGCTCAAGTACGTCCAGAATGGTGGCAATTTGGTGTGGGAATGGCCTCGCTACAATGAAGGGTGGCATCTTCCGGAGGTGCGTTCGTTCTGGGCGCAGATTGCACACGTTGACCACAACCTGGACGGCTGCATGTTCAACCTACGTGCACAAGACGGCAACTACCACAAGAAACCTTGGACTTTGAGGAGCAACAGATTTGGAGTCTTCAGCAAGATGGAGCGACTTTGTGACGGAAGCCACAAGCACTCTCCAACTATGGGTGGAACTGTGGCCAAGAAATCCGGACTCTACACACCCCAGATGTGCTCCTTGGCAGCCCGATGTATGAAGGCCTACTACCTGGAGGACTACAACATCTACGGCTTGGACTCTGTGAAGATCGACCGGGAGTCGCTGAAGACGATGACCTATCAGGAGATTGAGCGGCTTTCGCTCACGGTCCTCAAACTACATCGTCGCTGCGGTCACCCTGGAAACAGAGCACTGGTGAAGATACTTGCTGCTCGCAATGCCGATCCAAAGATGCTGGCGATTGCAGAGAACTTGCAGTGCGATGAATGTCAAGAAGGACAATTCAGCAAACCATCTGTAGCTGTTGCGTTGGAGAAGGAAGAGAAAATCTGGAACACGCTGCAGATGGATACCTTCTACTTCAAGCACGACTCCAATGTCTACCACTACCTGGTCATGCTCGACGAGGCGAGCGGATTCTCCATCACGGCCGAGATCCTGGTCCATGTGGAGGAGATCCATGCCAACGTGGACACCCAGAGCGTGATTGAAGCTCTGGAGGGATCTTGGTTCCAATACTTTGGACACCCTCAACGCATTCGATGCGACCTTGAAGGTGCCTTCAGAGGACGAGAGTTGGAGGCCTACTGCGCTGAACGTGGCATTGAACTACTCCAAGTGCCTGCAGAACACCATCAGGCCACAGGAGATGTGGAGCGCATGGTTGGGGAACTACGCCACAAGATTGAGTTGTTCCTGAGGAATGAGGACGTGCCTCCCAGAAGAGCCGTTTACGCCATGACCACTGCCCACAACCACATGGCGAGGATAGGTGGATTTGCACCTTCTCAATGGGCGTTTGGAAGGCAGATGGACAACCTGGACAACATTGCTGTTCACTCTTCAGAAGGAGTCAGCGGACATGCAATGGCTGAGAATCTCCAACTTCGACTACGTGCCGAGAAGCGCTACCTGGAACTCCAGGCCAATGCCAAGATCTCCCGGGCTCTCAACAGCAAAACCAAGCCTTCCATCAGGTTCCTTCCTGGCGACCTTGTCTACTACAAGCGCTTCAAGCAGCCCTCAGACTTCCCTGCTCACCAATTGGTGGACCAACCTCGGTTACGAATCAGCCGTTGGTATGGACCTGGTCGTGTACTTGCAAGTGAGACCAGGGTGCAGGAAGAAGGAACACGAAGAGTTGCTGCTTCTACTGTGTGGGTGGTCTCCCAGGGCAGATTGAAGAAGTTCCACAAGGATCAGCTGAGACATGCCAGCGAGAGGGAGCGACTCATTGCTGAGCAGTCACCAGCACCGGTGACACCGTGGACTTTCAATGCCTTGGAAGCTCTGATCGAGCGGGGAGCCTTTGATGACCACACGGCGGACTTGATGGAAAAGGTGCCCAACAAGAGCCAGCGACGAGCCTACAATAGGTCTCGCGCACCTGTGCCAGGTGGGCATGAGAGAAGAGTGATGACAGAGGCATCTTCGAGTGCACCTTCTGCACCACAAGCTGTGCCACGAGACCCAGCTGATGCTGTCATGGAAGATCATGGCCCCACTACACGCACTTCTACCACTCCAGAAGATCCTGATCTGCAGTCTGTGATCGATGGAGACAAGCTCATGACCGACCCTCACTACATGCCTCTGAAGCGGATTGGGGGAGCAGAACCTGAACCTGGAGAAGTGACCTTTCAGAGACGCCGCAAACAGCATGAGATGGAAGACCGCCCTCTGCATGTGAAAAAGGCAGAACTTGAAGCTGCAGCTTACTGGAGCTTCGAAGAGGCCAACGACTGCGTCTACGGCGTGGAGATACCTATGCCGGAGAACGAGAAGGCCTGGCGCAAGATACTGAAGAACCCATCAAAGTTTGCTGCCAAGAGCGTCCAGAAAGGCGCTGAGGTCTCTTGGGGAAAGCTTTCCACTGAGCAAAGAGAGGCTATGCAAGCCGCAAAGAACTTGGAGGTAGACCAATGGGTGCGAGAAGAAGTTTGCAAACGCTATCGTGGCGTTATTCCTGCTGGTCGGCTGATGAAGATGCGATGGGTGCTTACCTTGAAAAGCACCGACAAGCCTGAAACAGCAAAGTGCAAAGCTCGCATCGTGCTTCTGGGCTTCACCGACCCCGACATCGAAGATCTACAAACTTCCGCACCGACTATGACAAGACGATCCCGACAACTCAGCTTGAACCTGGCCACATCAAAGAAATGGCGATTGGGAAAAGCTGACGCAAAATCCGCCTTTCTTCAGGGCACTTCAAACTGGGGTGGATTTAGTAAGGTTCTTTGTGCTGATTGAAGGTGCTTCTGTGATGAAGTTATTGGCGTTGCTTTTATTTAGTGGGTGGTAATGTGGATTTAAAACTGAATGGTGTTCCGGATGTTTACAAATCGATCAGTTATAACTAGAAAACAAATATGACTGATGCTAAGCGTCACTGTGCAAAGATCCGATGTGTATAGTAGGTGATTCTGGTGTTTTTGTTGTGGCACAGAGCCCCTCCCCGCTCTGCGCGGTGGCGCCCTCCACAAACTTTACAGCGGCGCCTCCCATAAATTTTAACAAAGGAGGCAACACCTCCTTGAAAACAGGCTTGTGCGCAGGAGACCTTGCAAGGCCTTCCTTATAATGTCTGTCGAGCTATGATCAATCAATAACTTTGGCGTTACAGGAGGTTTCGATATTAAGGGCGATGTCCTCCTTGAAAGTTTCCGGGTCGTTCTCGGGGCCACTGTGTTTATGCGAAAGCGAGCAGCACCAAAGGACATTTGTTCAGCTCACATGCCTCGGTCTCGAACCTAACTAGCAGAAGAACTTTGGTGAAGTCGAAACTTCATATGCACCAACAAGTCGTCCAGGCAAGCGAAACAGCCTTCGAAATGCGGCGCCTGGGGCAGCAGGTCATGAGGCATGGCGTTGATGGCGCCCAAAAGAAAAGAAGCAGCGCTATCCAACTCACCAACCTTTCCTGCAAGCAAGTCGCGCGATGTCAAAGCTGGACATTTCTCGATCTTCCCTTGCATAGGCTGGATTTGTCCAGACCTGGTGTAAAGGTGAGCGGTCCATGTACAGTCTGTGGGCTCTGTGCCAGGGCGGTCCAGCGTCATCTGAAGGATGGTCAAAAACATGATGGCACAGGCAAGCGCACATGACCTGGTGCGGTCTTCCTTGAAGAAAGGCTGGCAAAAAATCAAAGCCTCACGAGCATTTTCCATTTCGAACGCGCTCTTCTCCTTGAGTGCTGGATCCCACCGCAAGAAGGCTTGGACGCCCAACTGCAAGTCAGCTCTGTTGAGGACACCTTGGGACAATCTCTTCTCACCTGCTGCTGCCATGTTGCAGGTTAGACTAGTTTTGTGAGCCAAAAAACCTGGGTCGAATGGGTCGATGTGATGGACAAAGCAAAACCGAGGTTGAATTGCATTGCGGCAATGTTCAGCACTGAATGTGCAAGCATTGTGGTAACCACGGCTAGCGCAGCTGACTCAAATGATTTTCAACAGGTCAAACTGGAAACATGCCGCCTATTCTTCAAAGAATGCCGTGTTGGGGCGGAGCTGCACAGCATCTTCACTCACTGCCTGCTCTTTGAAACGTCGGACATTCTCTGCATGTTTTGCCCAAACTCCACCATTCAGGCAAAGCGCCTGTGAAGACACCCCCGGGCTGCCAGAAGCCAAGTTGGCCATGAGTGCCGGGTCTTGGCTGCTATTAGCTTTCGGAGTCTTGGCGGCAGCCTTGGCAGCCTTGGCCTTGGGCTCAGCAGCTTCAGGCAACAGCTCCGCGCCTCTCTTCGCTGCTGACTTCTTGGGAGCCATGGCTACTACGCACCCACTCTGCAGAAACTCAGCCGTGGGAAGTAATAACTAAGTTGGAGGTACACTCACAGCTGGGCCAGGACTGCAAGGATCTTAAAATGTCTCCTGCTAAAATCAAGACGGTTGTACCATGCCATGCGTGTGACCCGTACTAAATTCGGGCCAACTGCAGCATTCAACGCGTATTTGACTGCCATGCTCGTGACCCGTACTAAATTCGGGCCAGCTGCAAGAGTCAACGCGTATTTGGCTGCCATGCTCATGACCCGTACTAAATTCGGGTCCTCTGGAGAGTTCAAAGACCAGGACTGCCATGTTAGCACATGGTCAACCGTGTAAGAACACGGCGGCCAAACGCGTATTTGCCTGCCGTGCTACCACCTGGCAGACCGTGCGCTAACATGGCGCAGCCTCCTTGATAAAGAAAGGAGGCTGCCATGTTAGCACATGGTAAACCGTGTACGAACACGGCGGCCAAACGCGTATTTGCCTGCCATGCTGTACATGGTGAACACGTGCAACACATGGCGGTCGAACTGCTTCCTGGAAATAGTAGGGAGAGGCCTTAGTAGCGATCTTTTTTAACTCAACTTGCTGCCCGCGGAAGGCAAACATAGACAACAGGAGACTGCATCGTCCACATCGGCTTGACAGTGACCCGGCTTGCTGTGAGAGATGACTGACTTCCATTCAGACATGGTTGGCGAGAAACCACCAATTTCCTCAAGCGCTGGCGCTTTGCCACCGGCCATACTTTCAGCAGTGCGGTGAGCAGGCGAAGCAGCATGTTTGCGGAAACGAGCCACACGAATGTCACCACTGTTCACTTCATACCTTGCAAAGTGATGCCTGGAAACCGGAAACTTGGACATGGCTTCAGGACTCACTTCCTGAGCATCATGGCACAGTCGGCAGCCCAAGCCCCAACTGCCACTCTCCATATTCATTTTGGCGTCCAACCATGCTAATTCTTTCTGCCATACAGGCTTATATTTCACCCATGTGCATCGAGCACATTTTGCACCTGCAGAGCAAGCTTTCACATGTGCATCATCATCATAGCCGCCAAGCGAACAGTTGCCCAACTGCTCTGACATACTTGCTGAGCCCTAGGTTTGAGCCGGTCAAGCAGAAAGGGAAATGTGTGCGGCTTGCAGCTAACAATAATAATGACTGATCAACTGATAGGAAAGCCTGCCAAGCTGGCTGCCGCCATGAAAGAAATTACTGAATGACACTCAGCCACCGTTCAAAGTGACCCCTTCGGCCATTTTTTCCCCTCAGCCGCGTCCCCCCTGCGGCGATGAGACGTTGATACACTCCGGACAACGGTCAGATGCGACGTCCAAAAATGATCTTCAGCAAGTATCTGAATCTCAGTCTGGGAAATAGCAGCTTCAACAGCGCAGCTCTGCTCGGATCTTTTTGGCTAACTGGCGTGTCTCCGAGTTCTCAGCTGTCAGTGTTAAACATAGGGGTTTAGTTTAGTAACAAAACTTGAGCAAAACGAGTCGAAACTTCTGGCGGCAGTCAAGATGCGCTGTTCATCAAATAGCCATGCTTGTCTTTGAGCCCACCCTGCGGAGAAGCTGCTGTTGAACCATCTGGGCTGAGGTTGCTGCATCCTGCTTCCATGGCTTCTCAGAATTGCAAAACAAAGTCGACCTCTTTGGGCTCACCGGCATGAGGAGCTGGCCAAATCTTGTCGCTTGGCTCGTCTGACACATGGCTGAAAACATTGGTTGAGAAAACGCTGCTACTGACACAGGAGACCTAAGGAGCCTCCTTGCGTGACTTCCCCCTAGTAGCTGCTGGTGTTGACCAATTGTCCAGGAAACTATAGAAGCCTCTCTGCGCAATGAACGTGGCAAAAAAAAAAGAAGAAGTTCACAAAACACTTTTCTCAGGAGTGTGTACCTCCTTGGCCAAGGAAGCTTATATGATGATTGTCAACGATCCTTGCTCAGGAGGGTGCACCTCCTTCGTCAGGACACTGATGGATAATGAAAACATGTCAATGATTGTTGCGTGCACCTCCTTGGTCCTGGTCAGGAGGTGTGATAATGAAAACTTGTGAATGAAATCCTTGCTCAGGAAGGTGTACCTCCTTGGCCAGGACAGGAAATCTGAATTCATTATGGAAACACTGGTAAATGATCTTTGCTCAGGAGGGTTTAGCCTTCGGCAAGGCATGTGACATTTGAATTTACATGAGTCGATCATGGAAACAGTAACATCTAAACAAGACAAACATGTTTGAAGCAATACGTTTTCTCCAATATGTTAAATCAAGAGAGTTTTGGGCAACACATACATATCCCTGAATGACTTGTAACATATGTTAAAAACCAACTCTATAACCATGTCTTAAAACATAGAAGCACCACCAATCAGCGCAAAGAACCTTACTAAATCCACCCCAGCAAATCAGAAAGAACGACACATCTTTGCCATTCCAGTACCCGAACTTGCTGAAGGACTTGGAATACCTCAAGGAGAAGCAGTTCAGATTCTCAAAGCTGCATATGGCTTGGTGTCTGCCCCTCGAGAATGGTTCATCGAAGTCAACAGAGTGGCCACAGAGGATTGCCACCTGAGGCAGCTGAAATCTGACCACTGCATGTGGGTTTTGGATGGTGAAGGAGAAAATGCAGAACCTGTGGGATTCATTGCAGCGCATGTGGATGACTTCCTCATTGCCGGCGACGTGACAGACCCGCGCTGGCGAGCAAGCTTGGAAGCCTTCAAAGGTGCCTTCAGATGGTCACCATGGGAAGAGCCTCCCTACCTACATTGCGGTGTGATGATCGACCAGCTGGCGGACTACTCCTTCCAGCTCGACCACTCCGAGTTTTGCACAGAGCTCAAGCAGATCGAGGTGAACAAGAACGTGGAGCATGTCACTGAGGAGGAGATGACCCAGTGCCGTGCTGTGCTTGGTGCTGCCCAATGGAGAGTTTTGCAATCTGGCCCTCAGCATGCGGCCAAACTGTCTTGGCTCCAAAGCGCTCTCCCGGCATCCAAGCATAACAAGGACATCCTCCACCAGATCAACAAGCTGTGCAGAGAGATCTTTGCGCAGCGACATCTCTCAGTGCATGTGAAGCAACTGGATGTGCGACGTCTTCGAGACCTTGCCATCATTGGATGGACCGACGCTGCCGTCGGTAACAGGCCAGATTTGGCCTCGACTGGTGGTTATATCATCGGAATGGCCTCGAAGGAGATGCTTCAAGGACGACGTGGTTACGTCAACCCTTTGAGCTGGCGCAGCGGAAAACTACCTCGCGTCGCCAGATCGAGCTTGGCGGCTGAGGTGCAATCCCTGGCAGAAGGGGAGCAGGAATTGATGATGCTGCGCTTCCAGTGGGCAGAAATCCTGGGCATCCCGGTGGACCTTCGGAAGCCGCACTTGGCGACTTGTCAGGTGCCAGCTGCATTGGTGGTGGATGCGAAGAGTGTCTATGATGCTGCAATGAAAGGAGAAACAGCCAGCTCAGCATACTCCATGAAAGAAAAGTATGCGGCGCTGGAACTGATGTCAGTGGCCGAGAACCTGAGGCTCCAAAACACGCCTCTACTTTGGGTGTCATCCGATGCCCAGTTGGCTGATGGATTAACCAAATCATCAGCACAAGAGCTGATCAAAACATTTCTACAGCAAGGCCAAACGTGGAATGTCAAATTCGATCCTCAGTTCATTGCCGCGAAGAAGAAGAGGAAAGAGGATCGCATGCAATCAGTGCCTGCGGATCACATGCAATCAATGCCTGTGGATCGCATGCATGCAGCGCCTGTGACCCCATCATCTAGTGAGTGGGCTCTTAGCGTTGTTCAAATGCTTCAGCGAACTCACGCACCTTTCGGCAACAGCCTTTTGGGCATGTGAGTGATTCAGCTGTCGCATGTCTTTTTCATATCATTTGCCTGCAGGTGATGAGTTTGCCATGAGTGCACATTCAAATCGCCTGTTGTTTTTCTGGCTTAAGGGACCCCTTTGGCCATAGCTGTTAGCTGAACCGGCTACTTGCTTTGCTGGCGCCATTGCAGGCGCGACCTAGCCTGAGACAACTTGGGCGTGGAAAACTTCGGCTGCTGTGAGACTTGGAACTTCAGTGGGTTGAAGCGCTGCCAGTTACACACTGTAACTTGGGCAGGTTGCCACATTGGTGTCCTTCCCCCATGGCTTGTATTGTGAACAAGAGTGGTATACCACCCCTTTGAACAGGCAAAAACATCCGATAATCAACAGGTAAATGGATGTAACTGATGCTTCCATTTTGATTTTGAGACCATCATAGACCATCTGAAGACATCATATTGGCATTATATTGGCCACACAGCCCATGTTTCCTGCAGGTTTGTACCGATCCATCATGTGCTGGCAGTTCACCATCATGTCGCTCCATATCGCACCGCTGGTCTCCATGAAGCAACTAGGAGACCGGGAGGTGAAACGGATACTGGCACCATGCTGGGTCAAAATTCATCAAAATCCCATGAAACGGGTGCTTCAATACTAAACATGACTCATGAAAAAAAAACATGTGGTTCACACCCAATGCTTGCGCTATCCCCTGGCGTCAAATGACTCGTCCCACCAGGACTTTCGTCAACGGCTGAGTTCCTTCTGTTTGCTGCTTTGGTCATTGCCAGTTGGACTGTGCGAAACTTCAACATGTCCATCTTTTCCGCGCCTTGGGCAAGGAATCAGATGGGATGAGGGGCACAAAGCTGATGATTTATGGATTGATATTTGATGGGGATGATGATTCTAATGATTCTAATGATTCTTTTTGTTATTCCTATTCCTATTATGTCCTAGTGTTAAATATTTATTATTGTCATCATCGTAATGCCAATTAATCATGTGATACCGGGTTCTTCCAAAAAAAACAGCCATCCCATGAAATACCGCACCACAGAGGTCATGTCCCCACCGTCCCCCTCTGTTGATGATGCTCGACACTTCAGATCACAACATTGAAGTTGGGCGGGGGTAAGCAAGGTATCTCTGTGGTTTCCGGTGGATGGCTGTTTTTTTTTAAGAACCCGGTATGACATTGTTAAGTGTTTAGTTGCAACATAATTACTTCAGGTCCCATTTCTTGGTTCTTGCCATCGTCCAGGTGGTGATGATGCAGCTGGAGATCGGTGCTTACCTTTGTTACTTAGCCGACTTAGCCATCAGGGCTGCCTGATTTTTGTATATCGAGAGCCATGGAACTGGGAACATCTTAAGAATCTTCAAAAAGAATAGACGCCAAAGACTTTAGTTCTAGGGTTGGCGTTGAATGTGGACCCATATGTTGTCATACCTTTCCTTGGGACTGGAGATCATTGACAGTGAATGCAACAAGCGAGTCCGTGGCACTTGGGATTCCCTGGGCTAGTTGCATCCACTGCCCTATTGGAATTCGTTTAAAATTGTTTTCTCCGAAAATGCTGTGCCCCATGCCTTCCACTGGTTTGTCATCAGTTACGATCCCATGGAAAGACTTGTGGAATCTCTTTAGATCAGATATTGAAAAATGAATTGGTTTTGTTATGTTGGAAACATATTGATCGGTAACCATGGATTTTCCCATGAAATATGGAAGATTCCTGTGAATCTTCCCCAATCCAATTGAACATGGGTTTGTTTGAAAGTGGGGTCCCCTAAATTCACAGGTTTATCAATACTTCCTAGCTGGTTGGTGGTTTTAAACATTGTTTATTTTCTCATGATACATGGGATAACCCTTCCCATTGACTTTCATATTTTGCAGAGGGGTAGGTATACCACCAACAAGATTAGTATTGCATTCAGTTACCATGGAATCTCTTTCCATCTGAAGGCGACATCGTGCCATGGCTCCCTGCCATTGCGCTCCTGCAGCTGGTCATTGCCTCTGTGGCGTGGGCGGGACACCTGGCACATGGAATGGCATATCAGTGGAAAAAAAGGCGTGGAACAGATGAAACCAACCAATTGAACGGTTGTTTTGTGGTTATTTCAGGTTGAGAAGCTAGCATTATGAATGCTGGGCTGGGAATGTTTCAAGATCTCACAGAAAATGTAGCGCGCGCAAGTCTCCTCCACCCTTCAAGCTGCTGAGGAATGATTTTGGCGAGTTGTTGCTTGGCACAGGAAGATCACGACAGCGAGATTGAGTTGGGCACCATTGGTTTACTGAAATTTATGCATAGCAGCTATATCAAGTATTGCCCTCTGGTTATTTAACATAGCCATGGAAAATGGCCCATTTATAGATGGTTTACCTATTAATAGCATGGTGATTTTCCATGGCTATGTTAGTCATAACCAGAGGGTAATATTTATTTATGTATTATATAATAATCAGTTCAGGCATGGTCGACCAGGATATCTGGTCGACCATACTTGGGATACCTTGGAGCGATGCTCCAAAGCCTTGACTCTGGCTCAAGGCTTTGACGACTTCAGTTTCGTTCCAATGGACCGACACTTGCACAAGGCCCCTTCGACATCTGGGCAACGTTCAGAACGGTTTTTGAACGTCGTCCCAGTGTTCAGAATGCTGCATAGAGTTCATATAATCTTTATCCCGGTTATATGATACTCTCTGGGAATAGAATGTGGCGGTGCCAAAATCGCAATTTGTATATCATTGATCTTATGTCCATCTTATTTCCCAAGGTCATTAGCATTTCTATTTCCCAAATGCCAGGGTGGAATACAGGCCATCAGTAATCAACCAGCCCCAATTCGTCGTCTACTGTTGGGTATACCCTACTTGGGATTTATTTCCAGTCAAATTAACCCAAAAGTATTGCTGACGCCCATTATACCCTGTTTGGTTAATTTAACACAAAACAAGAGAGTAAAATACTGTTGGGATATACCCTGATCTACTGTTGGGTATACCCTGTTTGGGATATTACACAAAATAAGAGACTAACATATCCACTTAGGATGTTGCCATTGATGGCCAGGGCTGGCGCCACTTTCGCAGATCGGCTGCAGCACAGCGGTGTTTTGCGCACGAGTGGCTCGACGAGTCGGCCACCGTGGGTGGCGAAAAAGGGGAGGTCTTCAGGCCTCGCTTCACTGTTCATCGTTTTCATCATCCATAGCCTAACCTCTGGTAAACTAACATAGCTATGGAAAATCACCATTTTTAATGGGAACATCCACTATTAATGGCCATTTTCAATAGCTTCGTTAAATTACCAGAGGGTAACCATGCCTAACCTCTCGTCAATAGTTTCCCAGCCTTTTTTTTGTGAATGTCATCACCAGTGTTGTTCATTGAATCCCCACGTTTGATCATGTTTTACATTTTTTTGTTCATCAAATCCACGTGTTAGTTGTTTCAAATTCCCATTCGATGGTATTATGATGGCCATTGTTGGTATCATGACGAATTGGTCACTTCATCAAATCCTAGATTTGATTGGATTTCTTGGTCCATGTTGGTCTTGTATATAAAAAAAATATATATATATATACTTGTACTGTAGGATTTTCGGGACCAATTCAATCATCACGAAGAAGGCTCCTTCCAACTGACTTTTATGGATTGGTTTAAGGGAAAAAAATAAACCAGAAAGCCCCATGATCTTCATGACAAAATTTATGGTTTCCGGTGAAGATTTTCCCTTAAACCAATCCATTCTGGTTGGTGGTTTGGAACATTTTTTATTTTCCATACTATATGGGATAATCCTTCCCATTAAGGTTTTGGCACGAGCTCCCCCCCGCAACGAAGCTTGTTAGGGTCGGTTGCCTTGCCATTAATCTTAGTGGGTATTCGGTGCCTCTTTACCCACGGGTCATCTTGACCTTAAGTGCCCACTGCCATTGGATTGGCTGCGCACTTCATCACCTTGGACCTGCATTGGATCATCGACTTTGTCTGTTCCTGTTGCTCTCCTTGGACATCGGAGTCCCAGCTCCGCAAAAAGCCTGGGTTTTTGCACGTGCTCTGCACTGTTTTGGGTGCATCACCTTCGTGGGCTTCTGCAAGTGTGCCATAACACTTGGGTTCATTGCGTGGACGCTGGACCTCAATTTTGGCCTCTGCAGGTGTGCCTTAACACCTGGTATTTCACAGGGGTGAGCTCCCTGACATTTCACTGACTGGCTCATAAGTGTACAATTTTTCACTGGAGTTTTCATTGGGGTGAGCTCCCTTTTTTCCATCCTTCTGGCTCAATTTTGTGAATGTGCTCAGTTTTGACCGTGATTGCGACCTTCATTATTTCATTCATTCTGGCTTGTGACCTCGTGGATTTTGCCCCCATTGAGCTGATTGATACAAGTTGCTGCAACGGCCACTGCATCACAGAGGAGGGCTCAGCGCAGAAAGCGTTCATTGGCACGGCTCAGTTGGTATCTACATCGAAAAGGGATCCAAACTTTGCCGCCCCAACGGATCAAACGCGTCAAGTCGCTGCTCCAACAACATCATTCACGAGACCCTACATTCATTGCACAGATTTCATCAGCAATGACCTCCTATGCCATGGAGCCTTGGAAGTGCTTGCCATGCAAGAGAATCTGCTCAGGAAAACACGAGTTCTGCGCGCAGTGTGGCCAATCCTGGAGATCGTGTCTCGACCCAGAGTTTGTGCCACCTCCACCCAGGACATCACAGAGGCAGGTTCAGTGGCATCAAAATCCTTGGGAAGGGCAAGACAGCTGGAATGCAGAACAGTGGATTCAATCCCCCAGAAGGAGTCAGTCTCCGAGAAGAAGATCCAATCGCCCTGCAGCCAAAAGCAAGGCAGGCAAGGGCAAAGGCAAGGGAAAGGCCTTGGAAGAGCAGCAGCATTATGGGCCTCAGCTCTCTCCTGCCACGCCGCTGTTGGAACCTCCCTGGTTAGCTGGCACGCTACCAACGGCATCCACCAGCTCCACTCCCATGGTGGTCAACTCCAACAGTGCCCCAGATACCAAGGAAGAGAAGGACAAGGACAGGCAAATGAGATCCCTGGTTGCCGCATTGAGACGGCGCAAGGACGAACTCCCAGAGGAGCTGCAATCCCTTGTCAAGGAGGTGACAGTTCGCAGTGGGCAAGAGGAAACGAAGATCCTCCACTCTGCGGTGTCCCAGCACGGGAGAGCGAAGAAGGAACTCCAAGAAGCACAAGCAGCTCGACTGCACATGCATGGCGCATGGAAGAACTTCCTTGCGCAGTCTGTGGGCCAATGGTCAAAATACACAGAGCAATTCATGCAACAGGAGCGCCAGATGCAAGAGCGCCTCAAGCTAGCTCAGGAGAACCTTCTCGCAGCGAAAGCAAATCTGGGAGCATGCAAAACAGCTGCAGGCTTGGAGTCCAAGGAGGAGTCAGCGCCGATGAGCGATGCCGAAGACGCCGAACCAAAGGAAGCGGAGACTGCAGCCGGGCAGAAGATTGCAGCCAGTTTCCAGGATCTAGCGTCGAGCCTCCAGACGCTTCACAAGCAGGCCGAGCAAGCTGTGCAGCAAGAGGTCGAGCAGGACCAAATGCGAAAGCGTCCGAGGACATCCATGCCGGAGCAGCCAGATGCCGCAAACGCAGAAGATGGTCCGCATCCTTCTTTTGGGGCGCCCGAGCGAATACCCTTGCAACTTGTATTGCTCATGGGCAGCCCAGTTCATGCGATCTTGAGGGGTCTTTCCATTTTGGCCTGCGGACAGAGAAATTGCCTGAAGTCCTTTTGCCTGTGAATTTTGAGAGTATTTTTAATCCTGCTCTCAAATGGAATCACTCAGTTTTGATCGAGCCCGATTTTGTAGATGAATGGATGGCCGCAGACATTGCCTTCCATTTGGCGCATGAAATTGCGTCCAATCCGACATGTTCCCTGCAAGCCAGTGCACCCGATGTCGCCATTGCCGATGTTCCCCAGGGTAGGACCCCACAATCTGTACAGTATTTCTCAAAGGTGGATCTGTACAAAGATTTTGCAGGTTCTTTCTCACAACATGCACTCGCGCCTAACCATGTCCGCATTGACTCCAGGGATAATGCAGGTCAGGTTCAGGTTCATTTTGCGCGGCATGGACCACAGAGCGTGTTGATGCAGCACCCAGACACACCCGTTCCGTACCGCTGCGAAGACAGTGGTCCGTGTCTGAAACCGGGAGCTGAACATGTGACCCACAAGCCTCATGCAGTTTTGAGCAATCGCCCCATGCAGTTCAGGGATAGTGCATGCTCGATTCAACATGGCATCGCTTCATTGAATGATCCATTACTGAGTTCGAAGCCAAATATCCCCCAAGAAATTAGACATGATGCAAAAGACTGCATTGTTGCCTCCCATGTGTCATTTGACCAGGTATGTCAGTCCAGTATGAGTTCGTTGTTTGACCATCTCGAATCACATACAGATGCGCAGCCTGCAACTCCGCCTAGGGTAGACCAGATCCCATCTCGCCATGCAGTCAAGTTTTGTCCTGAGGTCGACTTATATATTGGATGTGAGGATCAATGGAAGTTTCACCATATCCGAATCCTGGAGGACTCGTTGGTGATGCAGAGCAAGCCATGGTCCCTAGCTCCTTCCGAAAATGTGTCCCCTGACTGTCGCCTGAGTTGTGCAATTACATCAACCAGAAATACTACGCAGGTCCATGACAGCCGTTTGTATTCTGGAGTGTTCTCACAGGTCGAGTCTTCCAGGTCGCAGCTCACCGGCCAAAGCATTGGCACCGACGTTCCTCAAAGGCAGGTCGTTTCCTCTCAGAGTCAACCGACACAGAAACACAGTGAAAGTTTCTTGGGGGAGTGCATTCAGGCAGGGCTTCCAACCGAACTTGTCACGCAATGCCGCCTTGAACATGAAAGTCCCATTGGATGGTTGCCCCCCAATGATGAACAGGATGAAGATGAAAATCCCAATGATCAAAATCCCCCAAATTTTGATGAAGAACCTGCTCTTGTTCGGCATCTTCGAAGCAAGTTTTCCCAACTCGGTTTTGCCAATTTTGACGGTGATTTTGATGTACCGATCAGAACTTGGTATTTGGACCATGTGAACGTGCGACGCTGGACTGCCCCTCGAATCCTGCAGTTGGTTGGTCCCCCGCACACGTGGGAGCAGCAATTCATGTCATTATGGGTAGATCAGCTTGACCCCAATGATTGGTTTGATTTGTCAATTGTCGCACCAGACCCACCCAGGGTGGCCAGGCACAGTTTTGTCGTAATTGATGCCATTATCACCCAGTCACTGCACATGGATCGATATCCCGGCCTCGTGACGGTCATGCCACAGCAGATTGATAGTTTCGATCTTTTCTCTGTTGCATATTCCTTTGCCGATTTCATCAGTGGTTTTGATGTTGTGCTTGCGGTTGATGCGGTTAGTTTGTGTCGATACCACCCTTGCACGATCACATTTGAATGGGACGAAATCCCGCATTCCCTGAGACCACATCATGTAATGCGGCCTGGTGATGGGTTCCAAGTCCTGGTCCGACAGGGACCGCTCCAATTGGTAGAGCAGGTGAGGCACCACTCTGAGGCCGCATCTTCAAGCCAAGGGACGCATGCCCCGCCAACTGTAGATGCCTCAAGCAACTTAACATTCAGCACGCCTGAACATCCGTTGTTTGACGACCCGATGCATCGTAGGTTTACCACCCCACTGCACCTTTTCCAGTTGGATGCACACGAGATCATTGTTGACCTCGTCAACGCACAACTTGCACACCCATCACATGACATTGCTGACGCCGCAGACGTCCCATTTGAATGCCTGGAAGCAGTGCATATGTTGCTGGCAAGACCCCTCGATTTCCCAGAGTTGGCTATCCCTGCTATCTTGCAAAGAACCGGTGATGTGCCGCTCCATTCCACAGACAGATTGATCCTAATCGACACTGTCTACCATCACCATTCGTCAGGTTCACATGCCCAAGGCCGGCCTACTGTGGTTCGCACTGTGCATCGCCTGCCGCATCAGGTCATTAGGCCTCAGATTTTGACGGCAGCTGCTGTTTACCAATACTGTCAGTTTTTGCAAGAAAACTGTGAGGTGTTCCTTGACGCT